TATATATATATATTTCTCAATGAAAAAGTGCTACTATTACATTCATTATTTTGATATTTTATACTCATACTAATTATGAACACATTCTTTCATACATATGAAGTATAAATTATAAAATATCTTTATGTTTAATAACATTTTAGCAGAAATTTTTTTAATTACAAAAGTTAGTTTTGAGTGAGTTAAGCTGCGTTACGTCGCAAAAAATGCTATAACATGCAGCACGTACAAATTTTGTTGCAATGATTTATTTACCTTTATAATATTCAGTTAAAATCTTTCCAATCTCATGCAAAAGATCAACCCTTTCTTTTAACATCGGAATACAAGTCCCGTTATCACTTTGGAAAATAATTTCGACATCTTCTGGTTTTTGAAAAAGTTCCTTGTAATAGTTAGGGTTCCATATAGGCTTTCCTTTCTATTTTCATAAAAATTGCACCAAAGAGATGTAAGATGAAAATTAACAACTTTAAAAATTCTTTAATATATAATTTAACATTTAATATATAATACAACAAAACCACAGACATTTAATACGGATTATCACAACAAAATTACCATTTATAATATATTACCCTAACTTACACAACTTGCACAGTTTGTATTCTTAAAGATACAAAACATACACCCAAGGAAGATGCATGCATGTGCGACATTTCAATATGACAGATAAGTCGAGAACAGATTTTCGATTTGAGTGATCCTTGTTCCGAAAAATAAGATTTTCCTAAGAACCATTGCACGGCGAGCATCTTTGCAAATTTTTCTTAAGATTATCTAATTTGAAACGTTTACTAAAAGCCGATCGTATCACGGAGGATATGAGCGTGAAATGATCGTTGGGCAATTATAACGAGTATAGAAAATATCTAAAAAAATACATGCCGACTGTATCAGAAAAGAATTGAAAAAGGAACCGTCAGTTCATCGAGAGAATTGTCCTTCATTTCGCTGAGGATCAACCGCAATAAGAAGCGAAAAGATGTAATTCAAAATTATTATACAGCTGAGAAAACTTTGATTTAAGCTCTGCAAAAATTCTTTCCAAAGAATTGCAAGCCTTTTCTCTCTAAAAAAAAAAAAAGATTACATCTAATATACGTTTTACTTCTTTTGCTTTTTATTTAAAACGTATCTATTTGATAACTAGATTAGAATCGAATTAACTTTGCTTGCTCATTTTTAATATTTATATCATCCATATGTCATTTCTAATCATATTTTTTCAAAAACGATTACAAATATTAATTACAGATAAAATTCTTTTTATCACTTCAGATTAAAAACGATAGAAAAATTGCCAAAGACAGACAACGTCTTGTTAAAGAACAACTGTTACAGCAGGAATTGAAAGTCCAAAAGCAGAGAGAGAAAGCATACAAAACGCTGCAGCGATTGAAATTGTTAAAACTCCTTAAACAAGAGGAACGAAGATTGAAAAATGTCAAGCGTAAAGAACACGCCGAGAGGATTCAACAAAGGTACAAGATTGTTCGGCACAAGGTGATCGATATTAAGGTGAATTGGAAAATAAAGAACAAAGCGCGAAAGAAAGCTAGGAACAAACGGCTAATGGACATCAAACAACAAAAGCGGAAAATCATGGAAGAAAGGTATGAATTATGCGCTATCATTTGAACATAAAATAAACAACGTATCTCAAAATCTTTGATGCATAATTTGGTGACTTTGCTTAAACAAAAAGAATATTGGATGGAAATAAAATTCCATACATTCGTGCACATTTCAAATGGAGAAAAAAGCAATATTTCCAAAAAGAAGATATTGAGATAAAAAAATGTTATTGCGACGTACAGATACTCAACGTCTCAAAGTTTATAAAGAATTATAATAAAAAAATAAATTAAAAAACCGCAAGAGTGTAAAGTAAGATTAACGATAAATTTAAAAAAAACAAATATTCTATTTGAACGATAAAATAATCTACATTATTAATGTAGAATCGTTCGATGGAGCCTAAAGTTTTATCAGAATAATTTTTTGAAAACAATTTAATTCTAAATAATGGAGTAATATTTATAAAAATCTTGCAGACAATATAAAATTATATACACTCTTAACTTTGATTTATTATTTATAATATTTTGTGCAGAACTTTTGGATGATGTTAAGCTATTACGTAAAATGGCATTTACCAGATGAAAGAAAACTCATTTGTTGCACGGAATATTTTCTGAGTAACACAGTAAAACGCGTGATAAAGCATAAGTAAAAATAGCTTTAAATAAATACGTTTTAAATTAAATATTATTTTCACATTATATATTATGTCACATAATAAAACAGAAGAAAAACGTAATATGCAAAATTCAATATATTCTTTAAAAAAACCCATAAAGCAAAAAACAAACAACAAGCAAAATTAATATTTTTAATTTACTTTATCTAATTTACTTTAGCTGTAATATAAACTTCTTAACAGAAAGTTATCATTTTATAAAGCGATTAAATGTAAATTTAATAAACACAAGAATTCAAGGCAAAAGGATAAACATATCATAATAACAAAAAAAAAAGTAAAACAAAAATGAAAGAATATTAAACAGTTCAAAAATTTTTGCCAACAAAAAAAGTATACAAATAAAAAGTATATAATATGCTGCTGCGTATACATATATTAATATTAAAAGACAAGTGTCAAAATGTAATGTTAATGTTAGTTAACGCAGTATTATTTACACCTCAATACACAATTATACAAGCAATCAACATCAATTATAGAAAATATTGATATTTTCAAACGTTAATCAAATCTGAATAAAATCTATGGGTGAAAATAAAAAAGTAATGAGCCTTTCTTAAAAAGTTTCCGATTCCTTAAATGTCCCTCCACTTGTTTATTTATATATACCATCGTACATAAACATTGTACTCACCATAATGGCTCTTTTCATTGCAGCGCAGAGTGCCAAGAATCCAGTATATCCGTTAACAGTCCATGGATCGGTACCTTTCGGTGACCAAAGTGAAAAATTCAAGGTGTGCAAGACGAAAATCCAATCCGCCGCTCTATTGTCGTTACAGTCGGGATACAAGTCGGAATGTCTCGTAAATTTGCACATAACATTTTCGAACTCTCCATTTTGAAAAGCATTGTCCAGATATATTAGCACCTACGCAAACCAAATAAAACATTAGTGATACTTCTTTCACAACGGAAATTCTAAGGAGAAACTGGCTTTTATTCGACAGGAAATAAATTTTATTTTATTTGCAAACATTGTGTAGTAATGACAGTGAAACCAGGTCAAGTCGTACGATATTTCACGGATTAATGCTGAATAAAATTGGGTAGCTAAAATGTAGAATAAATTTCTTCATAAATCATTTTTCTCGGAAAATCAATGCTTAATATAAAAAAGTTAATGCTTCTTCTCTTTGTTCACTTTATTCCTTTATTTAAAATCATATTTTATCGACTGTACAATTAATTATTCCTGAAACAATCATACAGAAATAAACAGAAAATTTCTTGAACACATCCCCGAGTCGAAGAGCCCGACTTTATTCTATACCTTTTCTAAATTCTCTTGAAACGAAATCGCACCACGGCATTCGAATCGACTTATAAAGTCGCGCGCATCTAATCCTAACCTAAGTTAATCATCCCCCAAGATTTGTGAACGAATTGTCAAAATGTCGTGA